ACAAGCTATTCCCTGCCAGAAATGGACTTCCCACCCCTCCTGCCATAGCTGGATTTTTCTCATCTTTCAGACCTCAGCTCACACATCACCTCTGCAGAGAAATTCTCCCTCATCCTGTGAAGGGGAATCATCCTCCTCTGCATTGCCTCATCCTGCCTGATTCTCTCAAAGCAGATATCACCTCAAAAATCGGCTTGTTATTTATTGAATTGCTTGTCTGCATGTTCTCCTCCCAAACTTACACTGAATCAGAACAGAAGCTCCCTATGGCAGCAGTCTCATCTTGTTCATTCCCAGAATCTAATCGAGTAATTGCACATAGTAGGCACACAATAAATGTTATTAGAATGAATAAGTATTAAGGGGCTGCTCAAGGTGGCTCCTGCCTGTAATCTCAGTGCTTTGGGAGACCAAGGTGGGTGCAGGAGTTCGAGACCAGCCTGGCAAACATGGTGAAACCCGTCTCTGCTAAAAATACAAAAATTAACTGGATGTGGTGGTGCAAACCTGTAATCCCAGGACTCGGGAGGCTGAGGCAGGAGAACTGCTTGAACCTGGGAGGTGGAGATTTCAGTGAACCAGAGGTTGCAGTGAGCCAAGATTGTGCCACTACACTCCAGCCTGGGTAACAGAGTGAGGCTCTACCTCAAAAAAAAAAAAAAAAAAAAAAAAAAGGTAAAAGGTATGAATAAGCATCAAGGAAGGGAGATTTTGTGATTTGCTGCCTTTTCATGGAAATCCTACTTAACATTGACAATTTCTATTTGATGCTATTTCTATAATAGGAAATTGAAACTGAGTTAATTAAAAAGAAATTAGGCTGGGCATGGTAATTCATGCTGGCAATCCCAGCACTTTGGGAGGCTTAGGTGGGTGGATCACCTGAGACCAGCCTGGCCAACATGGCAAAACCCCGTCTCTACTAAAAATACAAAAATATAGCCAGATATGGTGGTGAATGCCTGTAATCCCAGCTACTTGGTAAACTGAGGCAGGAGAACTGCTTGAATCCGGGAGGGAGAGTTTGCAGTAAGCCAAGCTCAGATCATTGCACTCCAGCCTGAACAAAAATAAAACTCCATCTTGAAAAAAAAATTAACCACAGGTGGTGGCACATGTCTGTAGTCCCAGCTCCTCAGGAGACTGAAGTGGGAGGAGCACTTGAGCCCAGGAGATAGAGGTTGCAGTGAGCCATGATTTCACCGCTGTACTCCAGCCTGAGTGACAGAGCTACACCTTATCTCTAAAAACAAAAACAAAGAAAAGGCTGGGCGTGGTGGCTTACACCTGTAATCCTAGGACTTTGGAAGGCTGAGGCGGGTGGATCACTTGAAATCAGAAGTTCGAGAACAGCCTGGCCAACATGGTGAGGCCCTATCTCCATTCAAAATATACAAAAATTAGCCCAGCATGGTGGCAGGTGCCTGTAATTTCAGCCACTTGGGAGGCTGAGGCAAGAGAATTGCTTGAACCTGGGAGGTGGAAGTTGCAGGAGATGGAGGGGCAAGAGTGGGAGCAGGGCATCTGGTGAGGAGCTGCCATATCAACATCTTTTGATCACTCCAAGCCACGTTTTGAGCAGGGCCTCTACAAGAAAATGGCTCAGCCCCAGATGCCTTAATTCTGACACTAAGTGCTGGTGGAGGCCCTTTGAGGTCACACTGTGGGGGCTTCTTGGGAAAGTATTGGCTCTTCAAAATCAACATTTTTATTATTCCTTTGATGCTGGAGACAATGACCTGTTTCTCCAGGTCACTGTAACTATCTGCTGAAGATAGTTACAAATTTAGTAAAGATGGGGTTTCGCCATGTTAGCCAGGCAGGTCTCAAACTCCTGACCTCAGATGATCTCCCCCCTTGGCCTCTCAAAGTGCTGGGATTACAGGTGTGAGACACTGCACCCCGCCTTTCCTCCATTCTTGCTTAATTTTTACTTCTCTCTCTTTCTGCCTCTTTTTTTTTTCTTGATATCCTGGAAACCATAGGGAGTATATATGAATCATAATTCCAAGGACAATTAAAAAAAATTCTTTTAGAGACAGGGTCTTGCTCTGTCACTTAGGCTGGAATGCAGTGGTGAGATCTTGGCTGACTGCAACCTCCACCTCCTGGGCTCAAGCCATCCTCATGCCTGAGCCCTCAAAGTAGCTGGGACTACAGGTGTGCAGCACTGCAATTGGCTAATCTGAAAAAAAAATCATTTTTTGAGCAATAGAGTTTTGCTATGCTGCCTGGGCTGGTCTTGAATTCCTGGCCTCAAGTGATCCTCCTGCCTTGGCTTCCCAAAGTGTTAGGATTACAAGAATGAGTCACTATACCTGGCCACTTTTTTAATGGAGAAGAGACCAAGAAACACTATCTCTGATGAAAACACCAACTAAACTCTTGAAGTGTCACTGTTTTTTCACTCTCCATTTTTTCTCCTTTCCTTGTCTCTTATCAAATTTCATTGAATGCTTCTAGATACAACTTTCCAATTCTCCTTTTTTTGTTTTCTGAAGACAGAGTGTTGCTCTGTCCCCCAGGCTGGAGTGCAGTGGAGCAATCTCAGCTCACTACAACCTCTGCCTCCTGCGTTCGAGCAATTCTCATGCCTCAGACTCCCCCGAGTTCCTTGGATTACAGGTGCCAGCCACCATGCCTGGTTAATTTTTGTATTTTTAGTAGAGATTGGGTTTCACTATGTTGGCCAGGCTGGTCTCTAACTTCTAACCTCAAGCACATGCCTGTAATCCCAGCTACTTGGGAGACTGACACAGGAGAATAGCTGGTACCCAGGAGGTGGAGGCTGCAATGAACCGAGATGGTACCATTGCACTCCAGCCTAAGTGACAGAGTGATACTCTGTCTCTAAATAAATAAATAAATGCTTTTTTCCCCTGCCATCCCAGACTTCTGGAAAAGGAGTTGGGAGCTGTGCCCAAGGATCCTAGCCTTTGCCCTCAATTGCAAACAGATTGAAGTGTCTCTTAGCTAAGGAGTTTGTGCTGCTCACGAGTTGCACAAACGTAAAGTTGAGAAACAGTGCTTGCTGAAAGGGGTGTAAGAGGCAAAGGACAAACCTGTTGTCCTCTAAAGTGGAAACATTTCTATTCTATGTTGGGCTAAGATCTTGGAGAATGCAGGCAGGGAACAAGTTTTGCCGGTTTTCCAATGAGAGACCCCCTGTGGTAAGAGAGGCTCTTCTTTCTTTACCTGGTGAGTTGCTTTCTCTCTTTGGTACCCAATTTTCTCATGTTTAAAATTAGGGAGGCAGGCACCATTGCTCACACCTGTAATCCCAGCAGTTTGGGAGGCCAATGTGAGCAGATCACAAGATCAAGAGATCAAGATCATCCTGGCCAACATGGTGAAACCCTGTCTCTACTAAAAATACAAAAATTAGACAGGAATGGTGGCGGGTGCCTGTAATCCCAGCTACTTGGGAGGAGGAGGCAGGAGAATCTCTTGAACCTGGGAGGTAAAGGTTGCAGTGAGCCAAGACTGTGATACTGCACTCCAGCCTGGGCAACAGAGTGAGACTCTATCTATCTATCTATCTATCTATCTATCTATCTATCTATCTATCTATCAATCAATCATCTATCTATCTATCTATCTAAATAAATAAATAAATAAATAGAAATGGGGAAGTAAAACCACATGTCCCCTAGGATCCTTTCCTCTTAGTCTTTCTATGAGTTAATTAAAGAGATTTGTTTTCTTGTAAGCATACATCCAAAAAGGTGTTCACGGTAGGTTTTCCAGTTTTCTAGAATCTTGTAATTGCCCCAAATGATGAGGGAGTATTTGTAAGAGAAGCTCTTCCTTGCTTCCTTTTTTTTTTTTTTTTTTTTAAAGAGATGAAATGTCTCCCTGTCACCCGGGCTGGAGTGCAGTGGTACAATCCTGGATCACTGCAACCTCAAACTCCTGGCCCCAAGTAATCCTCTAATTCCAACCTCTGGAGGAGCTGGGACAACAGACACAGACCACCATGCCCAGCTAATTTTTAAAATTATTTTGTAGAGATAGGATCTCACTATGTTGCCCAGGCTGGTCTCAGACTCCTGGCCTCAAGTGATCCTTCTGCCTCAGCCTCCCAAAGTGCTGGGATTACAGGTATGAGACATGGTGCCTGGACCTTCATTGCTTTTTTAATAACCTTAATTACCTTCTTCTGAATATCTTTAGAACTACAATGTTTTTGTCTTTTGAGGCTAGAGTTGAAGCTGATTTCCATAAATTGTCATTTTGAGTCAAGTCTTTTGAATGAAGTGAGCCGCTGGAGATGATGACACAATTTTGACTAAAACAATTTCCGAGATAGCACATTGTGAACTCTAAAATGTGTGTACTGGGGGCAGAGGGGTGGTTGTTTGTAAAAAGAAAATATGGGGAAAAAAAAAGTAAAATGTGTGTGCCAGTCACCGGGCCACAGTTCACTCTTCTTGTCAAACTCAGAATTGTAGATGAAAATTATTTATTTATTTATTTGTTTATTATTTTTTGTTTTAGACTCACTCTGTCACACAGACTGGAGTGCAGTGGCATGATCTCAGCTCACTGCAACCTCCATCTCTGGGTTCAAGCCATTCTCCTGCCTCAGCCTCCCAAGTAGCTGGGATTACAGGCATGGCTAATTTTTGTACTTTTTTTTTTTGAGATGGACTCTTGCTGTGTTGCCCAGGCTGGAGTGCAGTGGCCTGATCCCAGCTCACTGCAACCTCCACCTCCCCAGTTGAAGCCATTCTCCCTGCCTCACCCTCCCAAGTAGCTGGATTAGAGGCACCTGCCACCATACCTGGCTAATTGCATTTTTAGTAGCGATAGGGTTTCACCATGCTGGCAGCTGTTCTCGAACACCTGACCTCAAGTGATCCACCCACCTCGGCCTCCCAAAGTGCTGAGATTACAGGCATGAGCCACTGTACCTGGCCAATTTTTTCTAATATCAAAGGAATCATCAGGGTCTTCCCTTTCTTTTGATTCATTTATTTTCTAGGTTTTGAAATGTTTTTTAAAATATGGAATGCTTTAGAGTTTGTGTGTTATCCTTTCACAAAGAGCATGCTCTTCTCTATGTCATGCCAATTTTAGTATATGTGCTGCTAAAGTGAGCACTGATTCTCTGTTTATTTATTTATTTATGAGACAGGGTTTCACTGTGTCTTCCAGGCTGGAATACAGTGACATGGTCATGGCTCACTGCAATCTCTGCTTCCCAGGGCTCAAGCAATCCTCCTGCCTGGGCCTTTCAAAGTGTGGAGGTTACAAGTGTGAGCCACTGTGCCCAGCCTGCAGTGTTTAACTGCTGACTTTGATGCCTGGTTTTGGTTGTACTAGACACTCCCAGTACTTTTTTCTTTAAAAATTATTGATTTGTTCAGCTCCTTCAAAAGATCTTTGGTGTTTTATACATCTTAATATGTGAGGCCAGGTGTGGTGGCTCATGCCTGTAACCCCAGCATTTGGAGAAGCCAAGGTAAGAGGATCTCTCGAGACCAAGAGTTCAAAATCAGTCTGGGCAACATAGTTTTTGAATGGCAGTTTATTTTAAGCCATTGATTCTGGAAGAATTTAATTTAATCTGATCCAGTGTTGGATTTTTCTTTCACTCTTAGAGACAAAAATAAAGATAAGACTATAGCTTTTATTGAGCACTAATGATGTGCCCACCACTTGATCCTTGTCAAACCCTCTGAGGCATGGACCACTGTACTACTGCCATCCCCATTTTATGGAGAAGATACTGAGGCAAAGGGGGTTAAGTACCTTGCTAAGCATGGGCAGCTATTAATGCGGTAAAGCTGGGGTCCTGAACCACTCTTGTAACCAATGTGACACTGTGTCTCTGGACTCCAGACCAATTTCTCTGATGCTCAAAATTTGCCTGCATTAAATGCACTTTTGTGAAATATATTTCTTTTCTTTTTTTTTTTGAGACGGAGTTTCGCTCTTGTTACCCAGGCTGGAGTGCAATGGCGCGATCTCAGCTCACCATAACCTCTGCCTCCTGGGTTCAGGCAATTCTCCTGTTTCAGCCTCCTGAGTAGCTGGGATTATAGGCACGCGCCACCGTGCCCAGCTAATTTTTATTTATTTATTTATTTTTAGTAGAGACAGGGTTTCACCATGTTGACCAGGATGGTCTTGATCTCTTGACCTCGTGATCCACCCGCCTCGGCATCCCAAAGTGCTGGAATTACAGGCGTGAGCCACGGCACCCGGCCTGATATATATTTCTTTACTTTTCTTTTCTTTTTTTTTTTTTTTTGAGATGGAGTCTCGCTCTGTCTCCCAGGCTGGAGTGCAGTGGTGCAATCTCAGCTGACTAAGACCTCCGCCTTCTAGGTTCAAGCAATTCTCCTGCCTCAGTCTCCCAAGTAGCTGCAATTACAGGTTGCCATCACCACTCCTGGCTAATTTTTGTATTTTTAGTAGAGGCAGGGTTTTACCATGTTGGCCAAGCTGGTCTCGAACTCCTGGCCTCAGGTGATCTGGCCACCTTGGCCTCCCAAAATGCTTGGATTACAGGCATGAGCCACCGCACCTGGCCCCCAAGTGGCATGAGCCACTGAACCCAGCCAGAATAAAAGATCTTTAAATGGAATCATTTAGTTATATTGAAAAGTTTACTTTGAGACCAGACTGGCTAACATGGTGAAACCCTGTCTGTCTCTACTAAAAATATAAAATTAGCTGGGTGTGGTGATGTGCACCTGTAATCCCAGCTACTCCAAAGGCAGAGGCAGGAGAATCACTTGAACCCAGGAGGCAAAGCTTGCAGTAAGCAGAGATGGTGCCATTGCACTCTGGGCTACAAGAGTGAAATTCCATCTAAAAAAAAAAAAAGTTTATTTTTGTGTCCTTACTTTTCCCCATTTTCTCATAAATCAATGAAAATTCTGCTGCAAAGTTTCATCAGTCTGCCAGCTAACATTACATTAGTCCTCCCTGCTCCCTTGGTTTAGTATACCGAGCTCAAATCTAAGAGATGGGGGAGGTGGTGGGGCTTCCAGCTCTCCCAGTTCTTAAACTTGTGGCATTATGTTCATGGTCCCACAATTTCTTATGTTAAATAGGGATTTTTATACCTACTTAAGGGTTGGCTCACACCTATAATCCTGGCACTTTGAGAGGCTGCCACTGGGCAGATCTCTCGAGCTCAGGAGTTTCAGACCAGCCTGGGCAACAGGGAAAAATCCTGTCTCTAAAAAAATACAAAAATTAACTGGGCATGACGGTGCATGCCTTTAGTGCCAGCTTCTTGGGAGGCCAAGGTGTGAGGATGACTTGACTCCGGGAGGCTGAGGTCGCTGTGGAGTGAGCCAAGATGGTGCCATTGCACTCCAGCCTGGGTGGCAGAGAGAGATTCTGTCTCAAAAAACAAACAAACATACTTTGCAGGATGAATGGAATAGTTTTCTATCTCAGGTATGATTATACAAAGCTACAAATGTGGTAAAATTTCATACAACCGCACACACACATACTGCATACAAATCCTAGGATTCTTAAGTACTTGGCCCCATTTGAACTTTAAAATACATTGATATAATACAATACTGCTTTAATCTGTTTCTTATGTTATAGATCCACATGAAATTTATTTAGAAAAATGTTCCTGTACTAAAATATTTAAAATGATTGCATTATAAGTTATAAGTTTTATTTTGTAGTTAGCATCTCTAGGGGAATTTCAGGGACACTGTTGCTGTCTTGTGACTACTAATCCTTTTAAAATCATTGTATTTGAGAAATAAAATAGTAGAAAATCTATGACGAAATAGGGAATTAAAGTAGACAGTACACTCAATTCCACTGTGTTTAAAGATTTTAATGAATTTCTGTGCATTGTGCTAGTGGTTAAGATCTAAGACTCTAGAGTCAACCTGAGTTGAAGTCTTGGCTCCATTACTTTATCTCTTGTCCATTTCTTCTTCCATAAAATGAGAGTAATAATAGTGTTAACTCATAGGATTATTGTGAATATGAAGGGCACAAGTACACGTAAATAGTTCTGGTCCCTGGCATAAAGACACTCATAAAATATAGTTATTCTTATTTTAGAACATGGTTGAGATCTTACTTTATGTTTAATATGTCTTTTCCTCACTTAACATATTGTGGCTGGGCACATAATCCCAGCACTTTGGGTGGCTGAGGTGGGTGGATCATCTGAGGTCAGGAGTTTTAGACCACCCTGGCCAACACAGAGAAACCTTGTCTCTACTAAAAATACAAAAATTAATTCCAGCTCCTTGGGAGGCTGAGGCAGGAGAATTGCTTGAACTGGGGAGGCAGAGGTTGCATTGAGCCAAGACTGTGCCATTGTACTCCAGCGTGGGTGACAGAGTGGGACTCTGTCTTAAAAAAAAAGAAAAAAGAAATGAAAGAAAGAAACAACAAAAAAAATCACAACTATTTTCCCATGTTGTTAAAAGTTCCACCAGTAATGTAAGAGAATGTTGGGTGCCCTGTACCCTTGCCAATATTGGGCATTCTCACTCTAGATCTTTGCCAGTATAATATATGAAAACTGTCATGTCATAGTTTTGATTTTCATTTTTCCCAAACATCAGCGAGGTTTAATGGTTTTTACATTTAAAAATAGCATTTTTAAATTTATAATCACCTTGTTTAATAATGAGGTTTTCATGTTTTTATTAACTGTGTTTCTTCTCCTGTTTAGATAAATCTTAGAATTTTTCACATTGATTTAGACAAGTGTCAGTACAAAGGTCTTTATAAGTCTATGAAAAATTTAATGGTTTTTCTTGGTAATTTTTGTCTGTAGATTCAAGTTTAGAAGGGCTTTTCCCATTCTGATATCATGTAAATATGTGTAATTTGTTAGTTTTAAAAAACATGACTTCTTTAAGCGCCTAGATTGTAGTTTATAAGGTGTTACATTGTCTTCTGGATATTGTCTGTACATACCTTTGCCCATTTTTCCCTCTTCTGGGTTATCTTTTCTTCTGATTGCTTTATAGGTGTTCTTTAGATATCACAATGGTTACTCTTTTGTTATATATGTTACATGTATTTTCTCCTCATTTGTTACTTGTCTTTTAATTTTGTTAATGGTGTCTTTATATAGAAGTTTTAACTTATGTGGTCAGATCTTTCTCTTAAAAAAATTCTTCATTACTCAACTTGAAAATCTTTCACTTCTTTATAGCTTTGGGGTGTGTGTGTGTGTGTGTGTGTGTGTGTGTTTTAAATTGTTTAGCAAGTCTCTACCATCCCAAGGTTATCTTTAAAACATTTTCATATATTTTATGTGAAAAATTTTTCTCACACTGAGCTCATTTAGTTTGTATGGCATTTCCTTTTGTGTCTAGTGTGAGGGTAGGAATCCAACATTTTCCCAAATGAATAGGCTTTTGTGTCTCTCAGTTCTGTTTATATTTCAAATACCACAAGGTTTTCCTGCATACAGAAAGCCTCTTTCTGGATTCTCAGTTCTGTTCCGGTGACAGGTCTGTCTGTGTTTATTCCATTACCTCATCTCCCCTGTGGCTTTTTAGAGAAGTTTGATATCTGATAGGGCAAATATGCTTGTTTTCAACTTTTTCTTAGCTATTCCCATGAATTTACTGTTTCTGGTAAATTTTAGAATTATTTTGATGAGTTTTAAGACAAATCCCATTGAGATTATGATTAGAATCGTGTTAAATTTATAGATGAATATGGGAAGAAGTCAGTTCTCACTAGCAGGTCTTTCTGTCAAGGAGCATGCTGTATCTGTTTATTCTGGAGTTGCCTCTCGGATAACAGTTTTAACCTAGATGCTCATTGTAGCACTGTTTTGTTCTAAACACATGTATTACAAAGATAGTATTAGAGTAAATCAGTTGAAGGAAAAGCCTCATATCATCTCTTCCTGTTTTCATTTCACTTTTCACCTTTAATTTTGGGTCTGAAGAGACTTTATCATGATATATGGCATATGTATACTCAGGCTCTTGTAACAATTGGCAGTACAGTATGATCTCTCTTATTGTCATTAATTTAATGATTAAGGACTATTTAATCAAGATGATAACCATACTTAACTCTTATGTTAGATAAAAAGTATGTTTCTAGTTTTTGAGAGTACCCATTAAGATAGTACCTTT